TTCATACTCCTTATGAACAAAGCATCGCCATCTTCATTAGCTGTAACAATGAAATTCGCTGTGCATTGTAACTGGAATGTTCTAAAACAATATTAATAACACAAATTAACAATAATATATACAGTGTGGTCACATGTCAGTAAAGTCATGTGGAAAAAAGTATTTTGTCATGTAAATTTTGTTTAATATTTCAATTATCTTTATAAATAGCAAAATTCTTCGCCAATTTAAATTATTTTTAATAATTGTATTAAAATTTTATTAATTTATTTTATTAAATTAAAAATTGAATTTTAATTCATTGTAAAATTTGAATTATTTCAAAAATTTTTCTTGATTCAATAATTTGTATAAAAAAATAAAATTTATCTACAGGATTTAATTATTTAAAAAATTGATCAAATTATGTATAAGAATTCAATTTTCAGAAACATTCAATTATTCAATAAATTACACAGGCCTACAAAATTTAGAATTTTGTCAGACCCACAAACGGGATAAGTCATTTCCGATGTAATTTGTCATCCTGAATCCAAAATTGGCAGCAAAATTGCTCTATCACGTCAGGATTCTGAGATATTCTAACCTAAAAGAGTAAAAAAGGCCATTTTTGGCAACATTCGACTCTCCATAAAATCTACCAAAAATTTTTTGTATCATTGGAACAACTTTTAAAAGAAAGTACAATTATTCACCTTTCAAAATATTCTACACCCGATCCGATCCGACTTTTTTTTACTAAGATACAACAATTTAAAGTTTAGGTTACACGACCTAAAAACTGAAAAAAGGAAGAAAAGAATAATTGGAAAGTACTTTAACTTAAGCATCTGATTCTTAATATTTTGGGATTGTTGGTTAGAAAACCGATGTCGGATTTTCAAAATTCAAAATGGCGGATCCAATATGGCGTATGGCAAAATAAAAAATTGATCGGATTCGCTTGAAACTTTTTACTCGGGGGTTTTTGAGGTCGCTAATTACGAATCCGATGTCAGATTTTCGAAATTCAAAATGGCGGATGTAATATGGCGACATATTTTTAAAAAATTTAACGGATTCGCTTGAAACTCTTTACTCGGGTGTTTTTGAGGTCGCTTATTAAGAATCTGGTGTCACATTTTTGAAATTTAAAATTATTGTGGATCTAATATAGTATTATATGTTAGTAAAATCAAAGAACGTAAAATTCGAACATTTAGGGCATAATTTATACACTCTTTTAGTAAAGAAAATCAAAAGTTTTATATTTCTTTATGAACCTTTACACATTTTTCTACAAAGGATCTTCGTATAGTTGGTTTCGTTTTTAGAATATAATACAGAATCACTTCTTTGCTTATATCTAGACCTGTAAATACATCTTTTCCCAATTTAGATATCTATAGGTGTGGAAATCTTTTTTTCAAGTACTCAAAAGACTTCGAATTTTACGTTTTTCGATTTTACTAACATATAATACCACATTAGATCCACAATAATTTTAAATTTCGAATATGTGACACCAGATTCTTAATAAGCGACCTCAAAAACACCCGAGTGAAGAGTTTCAAGCGAATCCGTTAAATTTTTTAAAAATATGTCGCCATATTACATCCGCCATTTTGAATTTCGAAAATCTGACATCGTATTCGTAATTAGCGACCTCAAAAACCCCCGAGTAAAAAGTTTCAAGCGAATCCGATCATTTTTTTATTTTGACATACGCCATATTGGATCCGCCATTTTGAATTTTGAAAATCCGACATCGGTTTTCTAATCAACAATCCCAAAATATTAAGAATCAGATGCTTAAGTTAAAGTACTTTCCAATTATTCTTTTCTTCCTTTCTTCAGTTTTAGGTCGTGTAACCTAAACTTTAAATTGTTGTATCTTAGTAAAAAAAAGTCGGATCGGATCGGGTGTAGAATATTTTGAAAGGTGAATAATTGTACTTTCTTTTAAAAGTTGTTCCAATGATACAAAAAATTTTTTGTAGATTTAATTGAGAGTCGAATGTTGCCAAAAATGGCCTTTTTTACTCTTTTAGGTTAGAATATCTCAGAATCCTGAGGTGATAGAGCAATTTCGCTGCCAGTTTTGGATTCAGGGTGACAAATTACATCGGAAATGACTTATCCTGTTTCTGAGTCTGAAATTTGTAGGCCTGTGTTATCTATGTTTGTATTTAAATAATTTAATTTTATAAATATTTCAAATTTAAATCATTGAAAATCTTAATTTTTCATAATTTTAATTAAAAATTCTATGGAACTATTTTCTTTAAAAAAGCTTAATTTAAATTTTTTAAAATTATTTAAAGTTTTTCTTTTCTGATGTATATATTTAATTAAAAAATTTCTGAAAAATCGAGATTTCGTAAAATTGAATTGTATAGAAATAAATTTGAAAATTATCAGAATAACTTTATAAAACATTATTAAACATAATTGATTGAAAGAAGAATTTTATTTAAAAATGATTGAAAATAATAATTGAATATTTTGAATATCTAATAATTTTTAATGTTAATCAAAATATTCTTCAGGCTCAAGGCAAGGTCAAAATTTTGTCATATTTTGAAAGCAAATTTTACTCATTTTCGAAAAGAAGACTTTCAATTGTAAACTACTTATTTACTTTGATTCGCGTTGACCGGTGGATGAAGATTGTCTCCCATATCTACCTCCATGTTTGCAAACATATTTTACACTATAATATTCGATTCCTTCTTTAAGGATTTTTCCCCTTTTTAATTTTTCTCCTCTGCTTTTAGTTAAGCAATTCCTTATTTTAAATACAGTAAATGTTTCATTTTGAAACTGCTGTATTTTCTCCGTCAACTGTGCAAAGCTGCAGAAGGTGTCATTGACATTCAGAGAACATTTGTTTATATTTTGCGAATCATCTTCTTTGGCTAAAATGAAATAAAATTTTCTTTTAAGTCGGAGGACAAGTTTACAATTCCTATAAAGCAAAACAGAAACAATTTGAAAATTTTAACCGACTCTAATAATAATATAATTTTATAATAACAATTAATTTAATTTATTATTAAAATAAAATATAAATATAATATAATTTTAATCTAATATAATAACGTATCTAGAAAGTGTTCAAAAATAAAAATTATTTAAAGAGATGTTTAACATTACATTATACAAATATTACACGAAAAAATACAATTTATAACATTTATAAGAATATTAATACATTTAATTTGTACTTCAAAACAGATAAATTTCTTATTTAATCACATTATATTATACAATTAAAATATCGGATCCTTTAGGGTCAAAATAAGTGAAACCGGCCACTTGAAAAATTTTTATCTCCAATTTTCAAGTTATCTATGATTTTTAGTAGATATATGAGTACACTTTTTCCCTCTAAAATATTTTTCAAAAAAAAAATTTATTTTTGAAGTAATTAGGTATTGAAGTTTTAGGTCATTTTATTTTTCATTTTATTATTACTTTGAAACAAATAAAGATAATTAAGTAATTTTTTTTTAAATTAAAGCTTAAAGTCTATACTTTAAAGATGAAATAAAGCGATTGCTAAAAAATGAAAATTTATAATTGTTATTAACAATTCTTTTAAACAATTGCAAATTGAAGAATGTTCTCAATGTTTTTGAAAGATTAAATTACGATATATTGATGCGCAAAACTATAAGGATTCATTTAAAAAAAAGAAAAATGAGTAACCTCCAGTATTATAGAAATTGTGTAGATTTCTCTGCCAAAATGCAGGCCAAAATCGATTTTTAATTTTAAAAATCCGCTTGAAAGCGTGAAGTTTCTAACAAAACAAAAGAAGATCTTATTTATTCGTTTGCAATTTTATCTTTTTCCAGGAACTTGAGTCAATTTTTGCTTGCATTTTGTCAGCAAAATCTACACAATTTCTATAATATTGGAGGTTACTCATTTTTCCTTTTTTTAAATGAATCCTTATAGTTTTGCGCATCAATATATCGTAATTTAATCTTTCAAAAACATTGAGAACATTCTTCAATTTGTAATTGTTTAAAAGAATTGTTAATAACAATTATAAATTTTCATTTTTTAGCAATCGCTTTATTTCATCTTTAAAGTATAGACTTTAAGCTTTAATTTAAAAAAAAAATTACCTAATTATCTTTATTTGTTTCAAAGTAATAATAAAATGAAAATAAAATGACCTAAAACTTCAATACCTAATTACTTCAAAAATAAATTTTTTTTTTGAAAAATATTTTAGGGGGAAAATTTGTACTCATATATCTACTAAAAATCATAGATAACTTGAAAATTGGAGATAAAAATTTTTCAAGTGGCCGGTTTCACTTATTTTGACCCTTTAACATATTTAAAAAATAATTTAAGTTAACATTTTGATACTTTTAAATAAACAATTTTTTTGCAACTATATGCTTCTAAAAATACGTTATTTGTACTTACAGGATAACTCTCCATCTTCACTATAATCACTCATTTTTTAGAAGTCAAAATAAAACTTTAGATTTCAGTGCACTGTAAGGTGAACAACCATCAAATGTAATAATAAACAAAAATTTTGTGTCTTTAGGTACGCGCTACTGATATTTGAAATTTTCAAAGACGACATCTATAGGAGGATCTTCAATTTGTCAAAACTTAATATTAATATTATATACATACATAAGTATTCATATTTTAAATATAATTTATTAATACAAATATTTAAAATATTTTTACAAATTATTAATAAAATATTAAATTAAGAATTTATATATTGACATAAATAATATATACACTTTAAGGTTATAATATATACATTACCTGTCAAATATTCATCTGTTAAATAGTCATTAATTAAATATTGTCATTAATTGATTATTGTTATTAATAGGTAATTTGTTATCTGACGGGCCAAATAAACTACTTTCTTTATTTGGCCCGTCTTGAAATGTACGGAAGTGGGGTGACGGGCCAAATAATATAAGTAACTTATATGGCCCGCTGACGGGCCAAATAGACACTCCAGTAGTAGAGCTATGGGGATCCTGGGCCACTTACCGACGGTCGGTAAGGTAGATTTCTTAATAGTTAATGTAGGAAATTATTTGCTGATTAAGAATTTTTAATTAAGGAAGATTTCGACTATATCAGCAATTAGTGACATCTATTAGACGTCAATTGAACTCTTTGGTTTAGAGTCAGGTGTTATTCTTAAGATAATTATCCCGATATGGTTGTCGGTAAATAATTATATTTTTGAACTTAACTTTTGATCTGAAAAAATAAGCTGCGTGAACGACTGCACTGTGCATCTGTGAGGACTCGAACCCCAGTTAATAGCTGCCTTTCGCGGGACTAACGCCTACCAATGCACCATGCCAACACAGCCTGGACGTTCACGTTTCTTATAATCTCAGATCAAGCCCATACACTAGTCGAAGAGCTGTATAGTTAATGTAGGAAATTATTTCTTAATTATTTCTTAATCAGCAAATAATTTCCTACATTAACTATACAGCTCTTCGACTAGTGTATGGGCTTGATCTGAGATTATAAGAAACGTGAACGTCCAGGATGTGTTGGCATGGTGCATTGGTAGGCGTTAGTCCCGCGAAAGGCAGCTATTAACTGGGGTTCGAGTCCTCACAGATGCACAGTGCAGTCGTTCACGCAGCTTATTTTTTCAGATCAAAAATTAAATTCAAAAATATAATTATTCAATCCACAGCAACAGCAACAACCAGTGATATACTCTGGCCACAAATATCAACAGCAAGACGTGAGTATTGAAAAAGAAAATTTATTTATATAATTAATTAATTAATAAAATTTAAATTAAATTAAAATTAAGATAATAAAAAATAAAATAAATGAAAAATAATAAAAATTTAATAGGAAAAGATTAATTTTTAATAATAAAAAAATTTATTTATACAATTAATTAATTAATAAAATTAAAATTAAATTAAAATTAAGATAATAAAAAATAAAAGAAATAAAAAATAATAAAAATTTAATAGGAAAAGGTTAATTTTTAATAATAAAAAATTTAATTTAATTTAATAGAAAAATGCATCCAGGTTGTCAACGAGGTGGAGTTCCATTAAGCCATCTGCTACAATGGAAAATTTACAATATATTCCTACACCAATCGAAAGGAAAATTGAAAGTGTCGAAGTACACGCATCAACAGTAAAATCTTGTTCTGAAGAAGATTCTTCAGATTCTGCTTCAACTTCTTCATCGAGCTCGTTGATCTCAAGACGATCGGCTTCACCATCTACGTCAAAAAAACCTGCTTCGCCAAAACCTTCTACATCAAAACCACCTGCTTCACCAAAACAACCTACTTCAACACCTTCTACATCTAAGGCTTCGAATGAAGCAAATCAACTAGCTGCAGCGATCGCTTCAATTTCAAAGCCGCCACCACAATCAAAAACCATTATTATTGATCAAGATCAAGATCCATGTGTAAAGAAGAGAAGAATTGCTCATCAATCAAAAATCCCAACAAGTGGGAAGAGAAGAAAATCTTCTTCTGATAAACAAAATCCTGAAAAAAAGGAAAATAAGTTTCTTCTCAGTTTGCTTTTTCAAAATAATTTGATCTTTCTTTTTTTATACCTAAAATGTTTTACACATGGATCTTGATCTTATTTCATTTGAGGGTTCTAAAGAAAAAATTTTAAAGTATTGGTTCTTAAAAAAAAAAAAATGTTTGTTTCAAACATAGTTTTTGATTTGCTAATATTCAACGTGTTTTTATAAAGAAGACTTGAAAAAATTCAGCATTTATTTTAAAAAAAATTACTTCTGTTAACAGCACGTTCAACATTCAAAGTGCCGATTATAAAAAAAAAAATGTTTGTCTATTTCAAACATGAAAAATGTTAAAAAGATTGTGTACTTTTTTACCGTTTAAAGTTTAATGTGTTCTTCAAAGAAGAAAAATGTTTGTTTACTTTAAACATTAGATTTGCTGAAATTCTTCAAAGCATTTTAAAAATATTTTGCAAAATAAAATGCTGAATTTTTTCAAGTCTTCTTTATAAAAACACGTTGAATATATCAAGTTTTGATTATAAAAGAAGACAAAGTTTGTTTGTTTGTTTCAAACATTATTTAATTTAATTTGCTGAAATTCTTAAAAGTTTTCTTTAAAATATTTTGACAAGATTCAGCATTTTTTAAATATTCAACTTTTTTTTTATATTAAGAAAAATGTTTGTTGACTTCAAACATAGTTATTAGATTAAATATTTTTTAAATAAAATTTAAAAATAAAAATAAAAGAATAAAATAAAATAAAATAAAATAAAAATAAAGAATTAAAATAAAATAAAATAAAAGAATATGTATTTTCTACTATTATTATTATTCTGTATGTAAAAGGTTTTTGGTAAAAATAAATGTACTTTTTAAAGATTTGAAGTATTTATTTTGTTTTTTTTATTTAAAATTTCAAAATGTATATAATTCATTGATTTCAGAATGTGGTTGTTACACTAAAAATTTCTATAATTTTAATTCTTAAAAAGGATTTTCTTGTATACATACAAATTTAAAAAAATTTAAATTAAAATCCTTAAAAATTATCTGATAATTAAATTTTCAAATATATATTTTTTCAGTAATAAAGTTGATTAAACTTAATGTAAACGTATTTATTACCTAGCACTATTGAATTTACGTTTATTGATTACAATTTCAATCTGTAAAATCGATTTTATTATAATTATGCATCTTGATTTTAATGGAATAAATTGTTCTAATTATTTTAACATAAAATTTTATTTTATCAAAATAAATATTTAAACTATGTTTACATAATATTACAGAACTAATTACTATTTATATAAATTCATTTTAACCTATTAATATGGTTTAATTAACTATTTAAAGTTCGCGCGAATCGAGACTTGTTACGGAGATGGCCGCATGGAGATGCTGCTTTTACTACTGTAGCGATGCATAGTGGGGAGCGCAGCGCCGTGGTGGGGATCGCCACAGTGAATAAGTGCGGTGCGCCAGCCACCAAAGCCATTCTTCTTTCAGCTTGCAACGTCGTAGGTTTCTCTTTCAGGTTTTCTCCTCTCTAGGTCTTTTTTCCGCCAGGACTATCTCTTCCATGTCTTTTTCAGGCTTTCTCTCTCTTTCTTTCACTCTTACAGATATTTTCTCTATTTCTCTGCTCCAGCTCATCACTTTCTTAGTTATTCTCTGTTTTAGATTTTTAGCAATTATTTCATTTTATTTTTTTCTAGTTTTTATTTCTCTTTATTTCATTTCTCTGCATAGTTATTTCAGGAATTATTTTTATTTTCTGTGGTTATTTGTATTAATTCAATTTTTCTGTCTTTTATTTCTCATTTATTTAATTTTTTTTAATTTTCACTTCCCTTGTTTTTTAGTTAATTCCTTTAATTTAATTTTTCAGCTATTTCACTCTTTTCTGATTTTTTCTTTATATTTTTTCTAGTTTTTATTTCTCTTTTCTAGTTTCCATAATCTTTCTATTCTCTTTATTTATCTTCTTTATTCTTTTCTCTTTTCTTTTATTTTTCTAGTTTTTATTTCTCTTTTCTAGTTTCTATATATTGTCTTCTTCTACTTAATTCATATTTTTTCTATTGTTTTTATTTATCTTCTTTATTCTTTTCTCTTTGCTTTTATTTCATCTACATAATTAAATAATTAAATCAATAACATTTTAGAAAATTATAACAAAATGGATCCAATCGATATGAACCAAAGTATGGAAGAAGTTGTTGATGATGATTTAGTCATTCATATTTTTGATGAATACGCCGACAACAATAATGAAGATGATGAGGATGATGAGGATGAGGATGATAATGATGATGGCTATGACAGCCAGGGGGAAACAATCATCTTAAGTGACGATGATGATTATATCGGCGATGATGATGATGATGACGTTTTAATAATTGACCTCGATCCTGAGGAAGTTAGTTAATAATTTTTATTTTAAATTAACTTTTAAAAATATCAATCTAATTTAAATTAACTTTAATAAAATCTTTAATTTTTAGATGTTGGAGCTTTTCGAAGATGAGCCTCAAAACTAGTTTAATTTTCAAAATAAAAGTACATATTTTTGAAATTTACGCATTTATTATTTCCCTTACTTTTAGCATATAGAGGTGGGGGTATTTCTGCGTGCGCAGTGAATAGTGGGGATATTTTGCGTGCGCATTTGAGAGTGTAGTGGGGTTAGAGAAAGAGTGGGGATTGCAGCAATATAAGGCGAGTTTTAAAGCCATCAAGTCATTACTATTTCAGGTTTTGAATTAGCAGTAAGTTTAATAAATTATCTATTTTCAAAGACTTTTTTCAGCTTTATTTTCTAAGTTCCTTTTTTCAGCTGTATTTTCTAAGTTTATTTTTCAGATATATTTTCAAAATCTTTTTTCAGATATATTTTCTAAGTTTCTTTTTCTAGATATATTTTCTATGTTTTTTTTCAGATATATTTTCAAAGTCTTTTTTCAGCTATATTTTCTAAGTTTCTTTTTTAGATATATAAATATTCTATGTTTTTTTTCAGATATATTTTCAAAATCTTTTTCAGCTATATTTTCGAAGATTCTTTTTCTAGATATATATTTTCTATGTTTTTTCAGATATATTTTTTAAGTCTTTTTCAGCTTTATATTAATTTTTAAATTATTCTTTTATCATTACAGGTTTATTTTAATTTCAGTTCTTTGTTTTCTCTTCTTTGTTTAAGGTTTCTTACCAGTTTTAAAAAAAAATGGATCTAGAAAAAGTCAACTCTGTTGGGCGTTTTGAAGGATACCTACCGACGAAACCGTTAGCGGAATTGATGAAAGATGGACTTTACTATGTCACGAAAATGAAGAAGGTCCAGACCAAATATGGACCTAGGATCATAGTTGAGATTGATGCTGACTTCGTCACATACTTACCAACGAGATTCATCAAGCTCTTCGAGGATGAACCAACCACCTTGGAAATGATGAAAGAAGCTGCGATATCGAAAAAACTTCAAATGAAGTATCTTGGAGGATCGTATAATGTTGTTGAATTAAAATTATTATAATAAATTGTAAAGAAATGTATATATATTGGAAAAAATTTTCAAAAATAAACACACAAAGTTTTACCTATAAATTGGTTTTAAATTTAATTTCCTTCTCCTCTTAGTATAAGTTATTTTTCAGAATTAGAATTAGTTTTATTTCCAAGAATTATAAAAATATTTAAAGGATAGGTTATTTTTTTAAATAAGAAACATTGTTTTAAATTAATATTTATTTTTGAAAACTTAAAACTATATTTACAAAAAAGATTCACAATTTTCGTAGAAAGATTTTAAAGTAGTAGTATTAATTGTAGAGTCAGTTTCATCAATTCCATTAGAAATAGCACTTATATATTGGTTTGGAGGTTCCAAAAACCACTCTTGAAGAAGTTTAACATTTTTTGCGGCACAATTTTCGATATAAAGAGTATGATGTTTACAAGTCGTTAACAATAATTTAGTTTCCAGTTTTTTCAACGATGGACAATTAAAATCTTCTAAATTTTGTACATTTAGTAAGTATTTCTCTAGCCAATTTTTCTTTTCGAATCCTTTGACGTAGATGGCACTAGCACCTCGCAGGATTCCTTGTAGAATAGATTGAAGTTCATCGTATGGTACGTCTCCTGCAGTCCAATCAATCCCATGGTAATTATGTGTTAGCCAAAGATTTTCACTTTTGTAGCGTCCTCGCAGTGAATTCCAAGGACAAGGAGGTTCAAAAAGGTAGACGAGAGGCTGTGCATCTGGTTGAAGAGGAAGTATTGCCAACTCTTTAAAGACAAACTCGTTGTTGGCTCTTTTAAAACCTTGAACGTCTACGATAAACTCCATTTTTGAAGCAGAAATGAATTTCTAGCCGAGAGCAGCTGCTTTTATAGTAATCACCCCCACCACTACCACATTATCCCCACTCCTTTACAATAGTTTCTTTACAGCGCCGCTGATTGGCTTATATTGTATGACGCGGTCATGGATTATTAAGCAATAGGCGGTGGTCTCGGCTGGCATGTTGATTCCTGCTTCAAATTCTAACCTCACATCAACTGATGCTTGTTTTAAAAACTCGTTTTGTTTAGAACAATCAATAACAATTAAAGGAAATAGACTTTTAAAAATATCCTTTGTTAAAATAGGTTTTGAATCTTTACCATAATAGGATGATTGAAAATTAGCGTACATTTCATAAAGTAGAGAGTACTGATTTTGATCAAAGTTTAGATTTAAATTTCCATAAGGATAATATTGTGAATTTAAAAAGAGTTTAACATTTATAATATTACAATGGTCAAAATGACAGGCATATTTTTTTCGTTTATCTTTCCTCGCTGTTTGAAATCCAACAATAACATAACGAGGTTTCTCTAATTGCGTTGATGTTTTAATTTGCCACAAAACTTTTGAACTTGTAGAAATTAAAGGATACTCATACATTTCCCACGACCTAAAACTTATTGAAATTAATGGATCCTTTTCAATAAATTTTAACAATTTAACTTTGTTATTGTCAGAAGGTAAAACGTATGGAATCATCCATTCAAGTTTATTGATGGAAATTTTAAATTCCTCATCCCCTCCTTGTCCTGTTTGAATTACGGCATTCACGTCAGAACGTGCTCTTGTTAAAATAAGTTCATGTTTAGCGTTCATAATGATTTTTTTATAATCTTCAGCAAAACCAAAAATCATGCTGAGTGGTATTGTGACGTCAAAATATCCATTTTCCAATACAAGTCTTGCATCAGCTGCAATTTTTGAATATCCAGCATTTTCAATAAAATTTAGCTGATTTGATGTTTGCGAGGTGTAATTTTTCATGATTGTAGTATGTCTAACGTATTTGCAGCGATCAATTTCAATACCATTTAGTTCATAGCGAATTTCATCAAACAAAAAACATACAGCATTATTACTTAAATGTACGTTTTGTGTAAGAGTAATTCCATCATTTTAGTTAATCTACCAAAAATGTGTAATGAACTTTTACTAGGTAAAATGCACAAGTCTTGATGTTGTACTGCGATTCGAATTTCATCGCTATTGTTAAAAGATGAAGATGCGTATGGTTGATGAGCTTGAATTTCATAATGAGCTATTGACTCATCGAAATTCACTGCTGCTGGAATATTGAGAAGTTCGTCCATTTTTATTGCAACAGCAACCAAAAAATATGTAGATTAATTGTCTTGTTGTCTTATTTTCTTTCCTTGAACTTTTAGACCTAGTTCTTGCAGGAAGAGGCGATTCTGAGGTGTTAACACCTTGTGAGATAAATTTAGACTGATTGGATTCTTGCATGTTGGCTGACTTTTATAGTTTCCACCAACAACAGCTGTTTGATTATAAACGATTTCCATTACAAAGACTTTATATGCAATCGAATTGTTATAGTTTCTCCTCTAAAATTGATTAAATCACCGTCCTGATCGACAATTCGCAGCTGTATATTATGTATTGTCTTGGTGGCAATCGGAAGGTAAATGACGTGTGCAGGCACTTCCACAATCTTATATCCTGGTGGAACGCTAGGAAAGAATTCATGGATAGTGTGAACTTTTTGGTTATTTATATACGCTCCAGATGTTATGTTGCACTCAATTCTAACTGAATTAACCTTTAAAATGGCTACAGGTAAATCAGAAATATGTGCTCTATGAGATGATAGTTTCTGCGATGTAAATCCCAACAACTTACCAATCGAATCTTTAGGTTTAAAATCAATTGGTAAATTAGATTCAACAATACTGCGTAATGTATTATTATTAGGTTTTATAGTAATAACAGTTCCAGTTTTTACAGAATTTTGTAAATATGATTCAATATCTTTAATTTCATAACTTCCAGTTGGAATATCAATTACTTGATTTCCAACGTAAAACTTGTTATTTCCTTTATCAATATTGGGAATTAAATTAAAAGTCAATAGTTCAACAAGACCAAGTACCAAGTATTTCCTGTTAACGTTAAAGTAAACGAATCACTCATATTGCTGTCAGATTTTATACTGAAAGCTTACAGGTGTTACACAGTCTTATAAAGGTTAAAACAACTCTTAATATTTAGTTGATTACACAAAAATTTGAGACACAAGTGTCCACATACAAATGTATCATAATTTTGATATCTTTTATGATTATATTTTATTAAGATACCATCACCCAAGTAAATGACAAGATCTGTTGGTGGAGCAAGGTTGCCAAAACTATCAAAATACATTGTTTCGTTTTTGAATTTTTTATATGCTACCCAATGTGTTCCAGCACCTTCTTTATTATCAAGATTAATTATTCCTGATTCATACTTGTAAGGACCACTTACAGGTAGTTCATTTCGCATAAAAATACCACGAAAATGAGGTATTTTGGCAGCTTTGGCATACTTCAACAAATCAAAATCAGTTAATGGACGGTGAGGTAGCTTCAAAACAAGTTTTTTTTGCTTCTTGTTGTTTGCTTCTTTTTTCTTGATGCTCGTTTTTTAATTCCTTTTCCTTGAATGTAGGGTTTTAAGTGGAGACCAAGTCCTTGTCGATAAGGTTTAAGGTGTAATCCTTTTCCAAGCGATATGGCTTCCATGGATCTATTGTGACGTTGAGCTTCTGCAAGTTGTTCGCTAGCTGTTTTAGCCTTATTAACAGCCCTTGCTATTCCTGAAGCTCCTCCAGCAAGTGCTCCTAAAGCACTAAGTCCAGCAAAAATTGGAACTAGCGGTAAAATTCCACCTACTTTAGTAGGTACAGGAAGAATTCTAGGTGATAAAATTTTGGATTTACCACCAACATTTTTTATTGCTTTTCGTGCACCAACTATAGCTGCTCGAATTGATTCTTCAGCATTATTACCAGGAGCCATACTTTTTCGTGCAGCATCAACAATTTTTCTTAGCGCTATTTGCTTCTTCTTACACATTGTTTTACTCTTCTTCTTTATAGATGATTTTCTTTTTCTTCTCATTCCCATGCCTAACTTTGATTTAGCTTTCATGGTTCCGGATATAGCTAAAGCAGCTGCTCTTTCACTTACA